GCATTTATGTTTTATTTATTTACTAGCTTTTACCCGCGGTATTCACCACACGTCAGAAGGAATTAAAGGGGTCATGTGACTTGTAGTTCCGAGGTTATGTCTGATAAAAACTTCCAATTCTATGTTAAGTGCTACGCCCCCTTTTACAAACTTATTTATATATTCCTTAAGATAAGCATCTACCATAGATATATTTTCATACCAAATTTCAAGTTCATGTGACTTAAGGTTCCGAAGTTAGAGCTGATTAAATAATTCACGCCTATAGAAGGTGCCACGCCCCCTTTTCCAATACCGCCTATTTTTTCCCCAAGAGTATAGAATTAATTTAATTTATCTCGACAGCATGTTCCAATGCTCTACCACAAGTATTTCAAGAGATATACAACATGAAAATTTTAGTTAGTACTGCCCATTTTTCTCTATGCCTATGACCTTCCCGAGGTAAAAACAAATAACTGTGCAAAGTTTCGTGCGATACCGTGCAGCCGTTCAGAAGTTATAAGGTAATAAACGAACAAACATTCACTTTTATATATATAGATAGATTTTTTACTTTGAGCTTTTGGTTTCCAATTTTTTGAAATTCGGCGAATTTTTATACATTTTGTACAAGGTTTTAAACTGTATTCTTGCAAAAAACTCGCAAAGTATTATGCCTAATTACGTGACCACCAGTGTACATATGTATGTACAAACACACATACGTATGTATATGTATTCCCTTTCCAATAATGTCATTTAACCATAATTGTAGGTGGCGGTGACTGGGATTGGGAAAATAGTGCGCCGAAGCAAACTATTACTCAGTCGAATTCATACCACAACCAACTAAGTGAATCGAACGATAATGACTGGTCAGGCTTCGACTCAACCGGATATCAAACTTCTTATCAACAAACGAAAGGTCGCAGTGATGAATTGAGCACTACTTCCGGACGTAAAAATATGAAGCTTCAAGCTACTTCTCGAAAATTGTGCGAAGGTTTCAATAGTCTTGACGTTAAAAGTGTGCCAAACAAGAGCGCCACAAATGGAAAAGGCACAGAAGAGGACGCTGCTTGGGATTTGTTAATGAATTAAATTATATATAAAATTTTTAATAATTTGAACCCTTCTTAAACTTCTAACAATATCAAAGATATGTATTTTAAATGTTATATAAGAAAGTGTTTACAAATACTCAAAAGTTATCCACATTAATTCATCGATCGTGGACTTTTGTCCAAGTCGGTTTTTTTCTTGCTGTTACGGCTTTTCTAGCCTTGCGTAGATCTTCCAAGCGTTATCTTTAAGCTTTACTAACGGTAGATCCATCCAACTTGTGGATAAGTAGGATACCTGCTATATTTTCACATCGTAAATGTCCCGGTTGCGGCGAATTTATACAAGGTGGTGTTGCTAGAATTCGTCGCGGTCCTTCTGAATGTGAAAATTATGGGTTTGTTGTATTTTTGGGTTTAGAACTTGGGTATACTTAATTTTTTTCTCAACCGATATCACCTTGTATTAATTCACTTTGGTGCAGCGTGCAGCAATAAAGGAAATGAGCTTTAGCCTGAAGAGGCGCAACACACTGTGCTCATCCGACAGTGGCGCTGGAGTTAGGGTGTCAGCGCCAAAAAATTTGCGCCGTTACCCAGGCCTACTAATGAATCATCTGAATATCAGACTTGGAGTATTATGCATCAGATATCTACGGCGATTTTGAAAAGCTTGATGGATATATATACTCTCGTGTAAACGTGATTTTGCATCTCCTTTTAATATATGCTGTTTCTTTCTCGTTAGCATACAGGATTGTCCATACTTGCATTTGTATTGGTTGACTGGTATGTTTTTAATAGTTTCCATCAGATTTGTCCAGTAGGGTTCCTTTCTCCTTTCGATTTTTTTTATATAAAGTGGCACAAATTGAAGACCTTCCCAGGTCGCTACCCATAGAATAGCTTTTTAGTAAGCAGTTATTATGTGTCTTCATCAAAAGTGATACAACTATTTGATAAACTTGATAAAATGATAAATTCATAATTTTAATAAATGAACTTTCAACTTTTTATGTCCGGTCAGGCGATGTTGAGCTCGAAATATTTAACGTTTACATACTCCCTGTCACCAGCTGTCCGGCAGGATATCACCTTGAAATAGGTGCGCTGCTCTGAGTTGAAAACCGTATGGTAGTTGGTGACTTTAACGCGCATCACGATCTTTGGTACTCAAGCCTGTCAAATGATCGTAGGGGAATACATCTGGCTGAGCAGAGACGATTCGATATTCTGCACAATGAACGACGACGCACCCGACCAGGGTTATGGGCAGCTGCTGCAGCGCGCCAGATCTAACAATTGTCAGCGCTGGTCTGATAAACAGCGTATCATGGCGACCTATGCTGACCCTAGCATCAGACCATCTGCCCATAGTCATCTCGATTGATAAACCCGCCGACTTTGCTTCCGTGGATCACCGGACTTATGTCAACTTTTCCAAAGCTGACCGGAAAGGCTTCACGGATGTTACCTAGCTGATGAGCGGGACAACCTTCGTCAGGCCGATCCCGGAAATCCCCGCATTAGGGATCTCAATTCGGAGATTAGGCAACTTGTGAACGTACATAATCGGAAGAAATGGGAAGAGCACTTGAAGACTTTGGTAACCACGCATCGTCGGACCCGGAGAGATGCGCGAGCTATTTTAGCCGGCAGTTCATTCTGCATCCTCCGGTGGATAAATCCAAACGTCGAGTGACCAGAAGGCTGCACAAAATGCCAAAACCCAGTGCGCCTCTTGTTTTCACCAGCGGTGAGGTAAGGGTAGCCATCGGGAAGGCGAAAGCCTCCAAAGCCATTGGACCCGACGGAATATGCACGTTGATGCTGAAAAATGTGGGTCCTGCGCGAGTAGCGTACCTAACGGAGGTCCTCAACCTGTCTATGGCCACCCTCGTCATTCCAGACATCTGGAAAATGGGGAGAATGGTCCCACTGCTCAAACCGGGGAAACCATCCAACAAAGGAGAGTCTAATCGCCCGATAACTCTCCTTTCCCCGGTAGCGAAGACGCTCGAGGCCCTGCTGCTCCCGTACTTTACGAACCACCTGACCCCAGCGAAGCATCAACATGGGTTCCGTAAAGTGCATAGCACAACAACAGCACTTAACGCCATAAACACTCAGATAACTCGTGGCCTAAACCGAAACCGCCCCTGTGAGAGAACTATTCTAGTAGCGTTGGACCTGTCCAAGGCGTTCGACACTGTCAGTCATTCAACGCTACTAGAAGATATAGAGGCCTCCTCACTCCCACAGGGACTCAAACGGTGGTCGGCGAATTACCAGAGTGGTCGACACTCGTCAGTAATTTTCAGAGACAAAACTAGCAAGCCACGTAAAATTAAACAGGGGGTACCACAAGGTGGTGTCCTGTCCCCGCTACTGTTTAATTATTACATCTCAAAGCTTCCTCAGCCACCAGAGGGTGTTAATATAGTCTCCTACGCTGACGATTGTTCGATCATGGCGTCTGGGAATGGAATTGATGATTTGTGCTAGAAAGTTCTCGGAGTTACCTTCGGCAGTCTGCTCCCTTTCTCGGCGCATACAACCGAAATTGTCAACAGAGTACAGAGCCGCAACATAGTCCTCAAGTCGCTGGCCGGCAGCACTTGGGGCAAAGATAAAGAAACGTTGTTGGCAACATACAAGGCAATTGGCCGGCCGATTTTAAACTATGCAGCGCCCGTATGGTCGACGGGGACTAGCAGGACGCAGTGGATGAAGCTACAGACCTGTCAAAACACGGCATTACGAACTGCGACAGGATGCCTCCTGATGACACCCCAACACCACCTACATGACGAGGCCCAGATGCTCCCAGTAAAGGAGCACAACATAATGCTCTGCAAGCAGTTCCTTGCTGGGAGCCACACACGTGGCCATCCCAGCGGGCAGCTGCTCGCGGAAGAGCCCTCGCCACGGAACGTCAGGAGGTTTATCAAACAACCTCTGGACCCGTCAACCACCGGACGTGGACGGGACAGAACTTTGTCTGCCTCGGGAGACCCGCACTACAATAGCCCAACTTCGCTCTGGCTATTGCAGCAGGCTCAATTCCTACTTGAGTAGAATCAACAGGGATGTGCATAACCAATGCCCGGCATGTGGAGAGTCGCCGCATGACTCCCGGCACCTCTTCACATGCCCTGAGAACCCCACTCAGCTAACGCTCCTGTCCCTATGGACAGGCCCTGTGGAAGTCGCACACTGCCTGGGCCTCCCCTTAGCTGAAATTGACGACAACGTTGATGGATGAACCGCCCCGAACGGGGCTTGGTAGCCGCTACAACAACAACAACAGAGAGATAATCATGGTAAACAACTTGGGCAGAATTGCTGTATTAGTGTCCAAATGAGCATATTTTTCGCTTTTTTAATTATCGACATGCGATGAACTATGTACACATGCATAACTTAGTCAGGGCCGGATTTAGAATTTTGAGTCCCTGGGACCAATAGTTGGTGGGAGCCCACCAAATTTGTTTAATTGTTAAAATCTTGGAAAAAATATTCATATAATTATTAGGGCTGTTCAGGATCTTTTGCATATGCTCTTGCATTTGCATATTCGTTGCATTTGTAAAGTCACGACAATAAACGATGTGCGGTTGCCATGGCAGCAAGAATAAAATTTGCAAATGCCATTGAATTTAGAACGTTCCAATTAATTGAGTTCAACTTTGAAAATCTTTGCTCAAAATTTACGACATAAACAACGTAATTTGAACCCAGCTTATTTTTTT